GGCAATAAATGGAAATTATTTCCTTATCTCCCAATATGTTCCAATGGGAGATTTTTCCCGTAACCGGGCAAGCAAAGCGAACCCTAGTTTGTTTGAAATGATTATATTCACGCCGCTTCGTCTCAAACTACCAAGTGAGCATAGAGGTTTGGACTTCTCAATTGCCGAATCGGTCCTGGTGACAATTCCTGCCTGGTTGGAAACTTCGTTCTCTTTGTCTTTTTCTTTTTTGCATTACACCCCCCACCGCTTTAATTATGTGTTTATGTTGATTTTAATTGATTTCATCCTTCATCATTTAGGAATTCCTAATTTTTAAAGAATGTTTTCATCCAACATTACATCCCTAGTACAAAGTAAAAAATATGCCCTTTTCCATTGTAAGAGAGCAAATGAAATTAATTAGAAGATCAATTTGGCAAAATAAAGGCGAGAAGATTGAGAAGTTAATGATTATGGAGTTTAAATTCATTAAATGTCTTGATTTGGATTGTGCAGCACGTCGTTAACAACAGTTATTTCACGGTTCTAACTCACCATTCATAACTTTACGCTCAGATTACAGAGTAACTTTCTTTTCCATGATATCCAGCTCCTATTGATCGCGTGCCTTCCGTCGTTAATAGGCAAGAGATTGCCTGAGCCAGAAGTTCAATCAGCTGCCTTTGTTTTCAAATTCAATACACTACCTCAGGTTTAAGAACTATTTTTGAAAGGGAAACATGCTTTCCTACACACGGTGCATACTGTTGAAGTGCGTGAGCCTTTAAATAATGTGAATAAGGAGATGATGATGATGACGACGACGAGTAGAGTCTTTTCAAACGCAGAGGATATATTATTTTCAAATGGTAGACTTTATTGTAGGTATCATTAGCCATTTAGCTGACTTCAGGTTGCACGGATGGGAGGAATATCAATTTCACAAAAGTCGAGGTTGGGGGGGGGGGGGGGGAACAGAGGAGTGTTTCATAGATTTAAAAGAGACAGACACAAAGGTAGAGAAAAAGGTAAGGTGGGTACTGTGAAAGGGGTCGAATATGGCATTCAGTCAGGTCATAGTAGTTTGAAGTCAATTTTTGGTTTATAGACTTTTTTACCGTACGAGTATACGTTGCCCAGGGTGCACCACGTGGAGGGCCGTTTGAGTATACGTTGTCCAGGGTGCACCACCTGGAGGTAAGTCTATCGTGAGTATACGTTGCCCAGGGTGCACCACGTGGAGGTGTACGAGTATACGTTGCCCAGGGTGCACCACGTGGAGGTAAATCTATCTATCATTTAATGTCTATTAACTTTGGAATTCCTCTGCGAGTTTATATTATATGGAGGTAGTCATTGATGAAGTTTGTAGGAATTAGTAAATTCTGGTACAGCATAAATCTGCTCACTTGTAGTTCCATTAATCTACGCTTAAAATACATGTCTATCCCAGAGGCATCATATTTGCTTAGTTAATTATTATTTTTATTCCGTTTTGGAATTTGAATAAGGTAGCAAGTGCTAATACCAATGGTCCATTGTCAAGCAACTGCAATTTCTTCTTTCAAAATTTGATTGTCCGTAACATTGTAATGAATTTGCTTTGCTCTTTAGAAACGTTGAAATAAAAGCAGCTCATGCAAGCATGCACGCCCAGATTTGATTTCGGACATTATTGACTTGCCCTATTCCGCTCGCGCCCATCTCCATTCATTCGTTTTGTTCACAGAAGAGATTCGTTTTCCCCCGCTCTTCCTTACACGCCCAGTAAACGGCATCTACTGCTATGCTATTGTTCCTCTTACCCCTGCTGCTAAACCTTTGAATGTGGTGAGATGTCATGCGTGTGTGCGTGCTACCCGAGAGAACACGCATGCGCCCATTTTATGAGTAAAGAGACACACCTATTGTGTGTGTGTCTGAGTGAGTGAGTGTGAGTGTGTTACTAAGATAACGTTTCCTCTTCCGCGTCCACAAATACAGCACAATGTAACTGCTCCTTTTCACTAACCAACATTAACATCCGTATTTTAGAACAAACATCTGAAGATTTTAAGCAAATTCTTTTCTTCTTGCATTTTATAGCTGTTGATATCAGAAAAAGAAAAATCACCAAGATATTGCCACCTCCCATCAACCACAACAAGATGTAAAGTAGTCGTAGGCGGTTATCGGGCGCTCGATTTGGGGTTGGAATAGAAGGAAGACGTCAATTTCCTTAATAATAATCTGACAGATAAAGAATGCTAAAAGGTGGAGTAAGATAAAAAAACACAAACCAATAAGACATAAATTTAAAGAGATGAAACTCAAATGTAGTAAGCAGTAGACAAAGCAACTGTCGGTAAGTGAATTGAATTCCGAGTCAAGAGTGAGTCAATACCGACTGGTTTTATTTATGAAATTTTTTAATCAGAGTAACATCTTAATGTCCCAAATGCAATCATTAAATCTCGAAGAATAGATGGAAAGGGTATATATTCGATTATCTATCTAAGCACATTGCAACATTAATATGTTAATAAATATTCCTGTTTTCAACAATTTAACTTTTTCAAGTCTAATTTCTACTGTATCAGTGATGATGTTTTTTCATTTCTTATGTCTAGACAAGCATTTTGTCAAAGCACATATTCTGAATAAGAATGGCGATGGATGGATTACGTCTCCAAACAAAATGCAAGCTTTGCGCTTTGATACACATACCGACTTTCAGAAAGTATAATAAAATGGCAACAGACCTGAAATTCAAATAATCGGAGAAAATGCTGCTAAATCATTTTAGAAGTGATCGTGAGGCCCGATTTAAATACGTCGGCATCAATCGTTTCCAAATTCTTAATAATTCTACAAGCTAAACCATAGGTTTCTGGAATTAGAATTTAATAACTAGATTTGCATTGCGAAAAAGTGAACTCCATTTTAATGTGAAACATGATGAGTATGGCGTAATAAATATTAATTTAGCAATGATAATGACAGAAAAATAATTAAGCATATAATTACTTCAGAATAGGTATTTTTCAATGATTAGAATTATCTTTTCGCAAAGAGAATCATGTCAAAATTATACAGCGAATAAGACATGCTGCGTATCCCGCAGTATTGATCAATTTGAAATATCAAATCTTATTAAAAATGTTCATTTTAATTACTTTCTGAGCAAAAAAGAAAGTCCTAGCAACAAATGAGGGTGGTTGAATAGGCTGTTAAATTTGGGAAAACTTACCGATTCATCAGTCATATTGTGAAATAATTTAACCGAATTTGAAGTGACGATGGAATTTATTCCCCGGTAAAGCTTCTACTGAGTCTTATCGATAAAAATCTAATTTAATAATCTAGTTTTGAAATTTTTTGCCCTTATAAGAATTTTTAAATGGCTGCAAACTTGAAAATAGAGGTACTGCCAAATTGAGCTATAAAACGAATATTAACATATTTTTTGTCTGAGTTAATAAACAAAAAGCGTGCTTATCGGCTAAAAAATAAGTCCTTTGAAGGAATAATATAAACTCTAAAATAAAGTCCCTGTGTTTAAAACGGTATATATTTTATTCGTTTGAGATGTGATCAATGCATTAAGTTATGAGGCTTTTACTCAAAAATTAAAAATTTCTTTGCCTATAAATCTGCGACTTAATATTAAGCAAACGCATTAATTTTATTAATAAAATAAAGATACACGCACTAAGTCCTAATAAATTTAAAGGTGCCAAGAGAAATATTTTCTCATTATCACGATTGAATTTGTTTATGTGGTCCAATCGTACATTTATGCGTTCCTAAATTCGAATGTTTGTGTTGGATATTTCTGTTTGCGTTATGGCTGAAGTTTGTGCAAATTACAGTGCTAGGTGTATTGCACATTCTTTCGCCATCGTGCAATTGATTAAACTTCATTTTTGCCCTCCACTGTGTTTTTCCGTCTATTATTTAATGCCTGATATTTACGTGTTTCCATTTTTGCTTGCACTTTTATTGAAACTATTGCCTTTTTGAAACTTTAATTTATTGTGGAATTAAACCTTGGTTAACATACATTTTATATATATTGCTGTCATAATTATTGAATGTTACTCTTAGCGCCATCTCACCCATTTGTTTCGTGGATCTTACCGTTCTTGCACTCCGTATATTCGATTTATTTGCCAACGGATCTACATAATTTTAGTCCCTTCTACCCTATATTCCAGGCGAGGTTTGGAGCTTGCTATGCTTCCGTCGGATGTTCATCTCTTCTATAGGCTTCCGAACAATTTTTACGTTGTCAGACTTGAGATCGCATAACGGTCGTGTCTGGTTTGTGAATTCGAACCTAACTCGTCAGGTCCGGTACTCATTGGATGGATTCGACTTGCTAGTTGTTCGATTTTACTTTTACTTGGCTCCGCTACTACTTATAAGAAAATTAGTCTCAACGCTCGAGCGATTTTATTTTCCATTGAGGCCCTGGTTTTATTGTTGCTATAAATTGCGCCGTCGCTAAACCGTAGCAGCGCTGATCCTTTAGCGCACCGTGGGAGTTCGCGCTTAATCGCGTCATACAGTGACGGTGTGATAGAGGAGTTTAGTGATTGGCTGCGTCTGTTTGGCTCACCAACTTCACCTTCGACTTGCTTACCTGTCTATCTCACCAGCTCTCAATTCTGATTGGTTTCTCTATCACACGCGCGCTAATGGACGATCGATACTCTTTCCACAATAATAGCAACGCCCATCAGGGTCGAAAGGTGCATTAAAAGAGAACAAAATACCAAGTTTGAAGAGATTATCAATGTGTATTGTATATATGTAGTCAACATTAGTTGATGGCACAATCTAAGTTGAATGAAGAGACTGAAAAGACAGCGTAAGAGAAGCGTTAGGTATACAGTTGGCATACAAAGCAATTTACGCCGAGGGTGGAGGGAAGCAGGGCGTTTAAAATTAGATTAATGGGTCAATGCTGTACATGTGGAGGGAAGACGGCGTTATCGAATAAGCATCTGTACATGGGGGAGGGGCGTAAAAAATGACTAAGCATCTTCGACTGGAGATTCATTGTCCACATCGACAACCACGGGAGGTGGGTGCCGGTTGACGTCATTGGTGCCAATAACGTCTCTTCTGACAGCGGCAGCGGCTGGGTTCCAATTAGGGAAATTGGGTTGAGGCAGGGAAGTTGGGAAGTGTGGGGGGACAGGTTGATGAGGTTGTGCCACCAGCGATGCAAAATTTGGTTGCTGTGGCTGATGAGCCAGGCCAGACTGAGTGTTTTGAGCGGCGATTGTATTCGCCACATTGTCTAAAAATAATCTCACGGACATATCATGCAGAGCGCCAGGGGCACGAGCTAACATGGGGAAACGACTCAGGAGCATATTCTGCACCGCATTGTAGGACTCTGACAGGGCATCTAAGATAAATAAAGATAGTCATTAAGAAAGGAATAGCCATTAACGCATTAAACGTTGAGTGTGAAAGCCCAAAAAGAGTGGGGTCATTTTGGGTTAGTCCGACAAACACCATAATGCATTAAAACCAAAGCAAAGGGGAACATAGAAGACAAAATAAGACGTTGAGTGGTTAGAATGAACGTGAAATGAGTGAAAAACGCACTTCGGGTATTTGAATCTCGTGGTGTTGATTCCAGAGGATTGGTTCGTTTTTGAGGGATTTGAGGTTGAACAAAACTCATTCTAGGTTCAATGGGGCGGAAAACTTCTAAATTTGTAACAAATTAGCAGCCTTTTAGAATACAAAAAGCAAGCCAATTTCTCGTGGTAATCCCCGACACAATGATTTCAAATTCAAAACTTGTGTATTTTATAACAATCGAGAGTGATATCTGAGTCGGAGAACAGTGATTCGTTGATGGCATATACTTCCTTATTGATCGTTAAGTTACAAACATACATTCTAATCTGCTTAATAAACTTCCAGGCAAATAAAGGAAAGCGTCTTGGAACAATTATTGGGGAAAAACAAGTATTATCATGAAGCTAAACAGTGAGACATGCGAACTTAACCACGTCACAATAAAAGAGTATAGAAATCGGAACCATTGACTACGCAAATGAATAAGTCAAGGACTGTGCTTCCATTTCTTTCTGTAACCTCTGACCGGGAAATTAGCAACTAGTCATCCATTTAGCAATGAGTAGTATCTGATTCAACCAGACGTCTCAACCAGTGTGAATGTGCGCTGATAGGAGCCGGACACGAAGACTAGAAAAGTGATTAATATCCTAATAAAAAATTTTGACGAGGGGTAAAATACCAAATAAGCGGGATGGAGACAAATACAGTACAATACCAACCTCGTTGGTGTTGAAACATGGGCGGCCTTTGTGCATGGTTGACAGCACCTGCCGGCAACGTGGTAAACATCGAATCAATACCCTGTGGTGATGGGTTAATAGAAGCATAAGGAAGCCTAGTTCCTCTGCCACCAGCATTATAATGCATAGTAGCCATTCTCCTTTGTTCCTCCTCAATTTGCTGTCTGTGAGCCAAAGCTGCCTGAGGGTTATTGAGTAAGAGGCGTTGGAACTCTGTCATAGGACGTCCAACACGTTTCTCTTCCTCGTACTCCCGCCACGCTTCAGCGCGCTCCGCTTCAGAGAGACCTTCGTCTATACGATTCTCCAACAGTGAGTCATGATTGTGATAACTCACTACGAGGTGAGGCTGTTCAGAGATTAGGTCGGCCAGAAGACGATCTTTAGGGTAAGAGGGAGGAGGACGCGTGGCTGCCAACTCAGCATCCCACAGTTCTGGCTCAAAAGTGTAGAGTTCACGGAGGTCTTCTTCTTTAAAGTGTCGCTCAACTTGCTGTTCGTCTATGACGCGGAGGGCTAGAGATTGTTTCGTCACCTAAAGAAAGAAAAATGAAGATAAGATTAACGGGAAAGGGAGAAAATCAACACGACAAGAGAAGGACGCTTTTTACTTCGGGGAAAATAAATCACACTATAGCATGTCAGAATTGGAGGTGGCTCGAGAACAAGCTCCTCGTTTGCACGAGAACGAAAAAACAAGAGCAAAAATTTCGTAATAGTAACTATATTGAAGGAAACGTCGTAATTTTGTAATGGAAAGGCAACACAATTTTAGAAACTGGTATAGAGAAGCGATATGAAAAGATCCTTGTCTAATCGAATTGGCTAGTTAAGTTGGTCATACACACCACATGCGCTCCGATAAAGAACGACGTCGTGACAACAGACACATTAGAAGCGTATCGATCTTTTTTAAATCCCAAATCAATAAAACGACTTGCAGACGAAAAGCATCGAAGTTTATCACACTTCTTTTATAACCAATTCACTGCGCACAAAGTGTCCGTTAATGAAACGACGTTTGATAGGGGAAACAAGCACACTAACCTCTACGAAACTAGCACAGAGCCTATCGCACTAGGACTTAACGGTAGGCAGTTAGTACTAAAGCGAGTATCTGATGGTGGTAATTTACTCAAGACGAATACATGGCCGTGTAAACAATGCCTATAGGCGAATCCCTTATTCAAAACCATCCGTGTTTAAGCTAGGTTGTACGCAGCTCGAGCAAATAGATAAAGTAAAAAAGTAAAGAGTGAAATTTATTGTTCTTGGGAGGTAATTAAACATGCGAATGTATAAAATAATCTTAAGCAAATCAGACACTTCTTTAAATAGAATAGCAGTTAATCTCCTTCGTAAATCTATAAAAGGCACAGAAGAAACCACCTCTCTTTGTTAGAATCTTAGAGATTCATGTTAATTTGTTGTTGAAGATCAAAGCCTAGAGAAGCGATTTCTACAAATGATAGCTGAGCTGGCCAACAGCCGCCTTACCAAGGGGGGGGGGGAGCTCCGCTTCTGACAGCTTGAGAGTTGTTATTAGGCGATGACAATTTTGGTGCTACAAATCTAACTCCTCATTAATGAGAAATTTTGACAATGCCAGCTTCAAATAGTAACGCGCTTCGTGAACACGAACGAACGAATAACATGGAAGACATCATTCCCCAGGGCTTACTTTTAAGCTCCTAAATTCAAGTAGCGCCAGGTATAAATATTCCCGAAATTCCAAACACAGAGGGGAGGGGGGGGGGGACAAATAGGTAGAAAGGGTCTGCAAGGCAAGCAACTTACTTGTCGATCATATATCTTTTCCTCCATAGTGCCCTGAGCCACCATACGATAGATGTAGACCGGTTTTGTTTGACCGAATCGATAGCTCCTGAAGATAGATTGAATGTCATGGCTGGGGTTCCAAGAGACATCAAATATAATGAGACGATTCGCCGCCGTTAAATTCACACCCAACCCTCCGGCCTTGGTTGAAATAATTAAGAGACGAAACCGTTGACCAGGACTGTTAAATCGAGTTTGAAGAGTGTTTCGTTGAACCGCTGAAAGGCTTCCATCGATTCGCTCGTAATCATGACCACGACGCCAAGTGTTTCTTTCCATGTCAGAGAAGTACTGAACCAGAGAGGGCATCTCAAATGTTTCCGAACTGAACAAAAGATCCAACTCTTGGGACTGCTTCGAATTTGTATCAACTTCTAGACCCTAAAACACAAAATGTGCAATACTGAAAAAAATGCGTCAAAACAAAAATATCGCTGCTAATGAAAATGACCGATACATACAAGCATGTTCACATTTTAGCTAATGACATTAAACCCACTATTAAGAATTATTATAGAAAAAAAAGACTAAAAAACCCACAGGTATAAAATTACATTCGTCCTTACATCAAAATCACAAATACTACAGTTATGAAGAGAACCGTGCCGCTAATTAAAAGTGATCAGCAACGAATTGCAGACTAAGACCTAACCTCACAAAGCTCTGTATATATTCTCCGAAGAGTCATTTTGGATACGCAAAGTTAGCCAAAATGCGCTGTCAATGGGTGTTTAAGCTAAAACCCCAAATCCCAACTACTCTCAGGCGGTCAACCTTTCCATGACCACATCGATTCACCCAGGGCCTCCCTACTTGAAGTGCATTTCCAGCTATATTCTTACCGTTCTACTTGTGTGAGTGGTCCGACACACTGACAATACGAAGGCTCGTTTTATTCTAATGTTATATCATTGCTGCATCACTTGGGCGCTACCTGAAGAGGGTCTTCAATTCTCCCACCCCCTTAGGGCGGTCTCAACTCTCGCAAGTGACTCTTACTCCACTTAATTTGCCAAGTGCAATTTTCTTTTGAACTCTCTAATTTATTGCACTTGTAGGCAGCACATGACCTATCGTGTCCATGTTTAATCAATTAGTTTGTGTTAAGTATGAGCGAATTTGTTCCATTAATAACTTTCTGGTTTCAACTGTGAAACGAGTTAAACCATCTACAACACAATAAAAACCAGAAACCCAATCATCTCTCTCTGGCCCGTAAAAAAGATGCCCCAAGTTACTTAAACTGATGCGAAATGGAGAAATTTTAAGCATCATTACCGTTAAAACCTGATTAAATTGATCCTTACTTTTGGCGCTGATGCGCATATTGAGAAGAAACTTAAGTAAATCCAACTACCAGTTCCCAATCAGTATCAGAACTATCCTTCGAAATGGAATGTAGCAATCAATGGATTCTTACCTGCGACATGCACCATTGTCGATCAATAGCAGCAAGGAACCATTCAATGAGATCAAGAGAGAAGAGACTTTGTGAGAAAACAAGCACCTTGTCACCAATCTCGGAGCATTTTTTGAGGATAAAAAAGAGGGCACTCAATTTCGCACCAACATCAATACGTAAGTCATAGTCATTCTTGTAGAGGGGACGCCACCATGGTTTGAGAATATCTTCCTCTGTGAATCTATCACCATATAGGCCACCGTTAGCTCTATCGCCAGTTCCATCTATATGAACTGTCCCTGAAGAAGCTGAGTAACTACCATCACCAGTGATCAAGCCTCCATTAGCACCAGAAAGTTCCATAGCACTAGCACTACCACGCAATTGGCGTCTTGTCGCTCGAGTTGAACGTGAGGATTCGGTGGGAACCTCGGCGGGTGTAGAAGCAGCAGATTCGGAAGACTCCGAATCGGAATCTGAGTCAGAACCACTGGAACCACCCTCCTCTTCATTTTCGTCAGTAAGTTCTTCATCTTCTGAAGTAGAATCTTCCAGGAAAGCCTTAAAATTTAGAAAGAAAACATTGAGAAATTAATTCTGACTATTCTGACGAATATTTCCACGATCGAATATCTAATTCCTTCATTTCTCGCTGGTGACCAAGGAACCCGTAATTTTGCCTAACTCTCGGTCTTCTAATTTGAGAAAGACTTATATCGAGGCAAATCTGTAATTTGGGTTAGACTCTAATGGCAAATCTGTTAATGGCATTTAGTGCTACCCAAGCCAAATTTTATACAGCAATTAAGTTAGTACACTATTGGTATAGTACTTTTATCACGCTTGTCTAACTCTAAAAGAATCCGGGTCTGACGATGAGTATCTAAAGGGGAGGAAGGCTAAAGAACTGCTCCTAATCAGTAGACAAAATGATAGAGAAGATAATGAACAGCTCAACTCAGAGGAAAAAGCGTTAGCGTTCTTTATTTGATGATGTATGTGCCAAGTTAAAGAGCTTACGGAAAATAGGAAAGCTTAATTTTAGGAGAAACAAGTGACAGACAAGGTAAGAACTTTAGGGTGTGTGTGTGTGTGCGTGGTATCCTTGATGAAAGTAATAATTGTGGGTGCAATGAGTCACCGCCAATGCAATTGCATCAACAAACAAGTTGAAATTGGAAACATTTTAAGAGGCAAGAAATTACAACAGATAAAAGTGCTCTAAGGGGGCTAAATTATCCAAAATTATGATGTGACGTCAAGGCTATTTAAATGCTAATTTCCAGATAAAGCTGAGCTGTGTCTTGCAAAAAAAAGCCTCGCTGACTCAGAAGTGTCTGCAAATAGGACTGTGATCGATGGGGTTCGTTTTACATAGTTTTAACAGAACCATAACAGAGGAGGCTATCTTAAACGCATAGACAGAATACAAAGATTTTATCAGTTCAAACTCTGCCAAATATGAGTCATACAGTAGAAACAATGTCTTATTGAGAGGCAAAAGACAAGATGACAAAAGAAACATGGGAGCATGAACAACTATTGTGTTGCACCGGCGTAATCGATAAAGGCAATAAAAAGTATTAACGAAATGAATATAATTATTGAAGCACTAGAATTTTAAATAATCATCCATCCCAAAAATATCCACGAGGCATGGTTGAGAGTACTCCAGAAGAAAAATAATTAGGAACAAGTTTGCCTTTATTTGCGTCCCGTCTTATTCACGTTTGCAATCTTAATTTTCTCCGAAAAAGCCAGCTGCCGCTTACTCACCAAATGACTTTGTCATTTTTTAGGCGCATAACGCGTCCACACTTGATTGGCAAACCTGTGCCAAGACCTCAGTGTGCAAGAGACACGCTTCTATAGCCGTATTGCACGATTAACCTTATAATTGGACAAAAATCTTCATTGGACGAATTTTGAAAACAAAAATCTCGCTTTCTTGGATCACGGTTGAGTAAAGAACCCCACGGATTATAATCATAATTTATCAGTTAGTTTAGGAATAAAGTGAGCTTAAGGATATGAATTAAGACGTATCAATTTCGAGAAGTACAAGGACACAAATTTGTAGCACAAAAAAGCTGCAAAATAAACAATACCCAGCAATACTCTTAAAGAGAAAGAGATTTCATGGACACTTGCAACTTCGCAAATTAAGAACTACAAATCGTAAATAATAATTCCCAAAACTAGTTAGGAAAGCATTTCCAATACACATCTTGAGTTAGAAAGAGGCTACAAATCCCTTTATATTAATCAAACTTATCTTACATTTCCTTAAAAAAACAACCGACCAAATGCCAATTGCGGGCTAATGTGAACTTAACAAAGAGCAAATAACCTTGGAATTAGAAAAAAAGCGTGGTTAGCCTTCAAGGAAGTGCTCCCCCCCCCCCTCTAGAAGGGAATAAAAATCTGAAGCCGTTGTGTTACAGTGTAAATTGGTCTAGATCTGCAAATTTATTCTATGAAAGAGGCAATAAGAAATTATTAATGCAATATCTGGACTGATAAAATGCTTTCAGGCACTACTGGACTTGAACACATCTTCAAAAGTGACAAGTTCATTTATCTAATCGGTTTTAATTGGCACAACAGGTTAGCCGATACTGACGGTCTCTCGGTGGGATCTTCTGGATATTTGTTTGTTGATGCAATAGGTTACAACCAGAAGTACAGTTACTACCTAAAAGGGACTATGTTCCACTGCCTGCTAAAATAAGTTACGCAAATATCCGAATTGCAACAATCGCTTACTCTTCTAGCTTCCCGTGTTTCATGCATTTTGAGGGTGAATGGATGTGTCCAAATTCGATAAAGAGTTTGCTGATCACTGAAGAGCGTACTTTTCTGATCATCGCCAGTCGTCAGGCCCCTATCAGCTCGAGTCTGTAAGAAGGCTCGATAGAGTTCACACTGGACATCACAGAGTCGGATTTTTAGCACATACTCCAAACGGGGAGGAAGATACTTTGTTAGACAACTGTAGTCTCGTCGCTGTACGCAACCGTCAAGAGTTTTGAATAGGACGTGAGCTCGCTTCTTCATCAGCTGGACATCACGTTGAGTTGAATTAGAATGTTGACCATTCTTAATCGGATTCACGAATCTGTTCGCGAATTCCTTAGCAGAGCCGAGAAGATTGGGCTTTACAAAATTCACCATTGTCCAATCTATGAATTTAAATTTTCAAGCATTAGACGAGAGGTAACAACACGACCAACCTCCCTACTCAAACCACTGATTATTCGATTATAGAACTGGCAACAAAGGATCTAAAAGTGTGCTGAATACCTTGCTACAAAGAAACCGATGCTGAGCTCAAATGAAGTAGAACATTATTGATAACCTTCTCAGCACTTTTAACCACAGTAAATAAGTCCTAATGGTTAAAATTGTAATTTAACCTTGGATGAATTAAGTATCGAACAAAACGGGAGAGTAACCCAGTTACTTGAGCAAAGGAAGTAAATGAAATTATGCAAATGTAAAGCATGTGAGGGAACTACAGTGTAACTAAGCAAATAGAATCTTAGATATAGCTTTCCTTACATTCGGATAGATTGTTCTGCAACGGCGTACCAGTAAGAATAATTCGCTTCGGGGTCTTGAGACTGTTAATAGCTTTTGTGACGCCGGTTTTGGAATTCTTTAACAAATGACCTTCATCGCACACCACAATATCCGGACCGGGGTCAGTGAGAGCTGAAAGAATTAACTTTTTCAGCGACAGTTTTCGGGTTTTCTTCAGGAGAGAAGTAGTCAGATTGCGATACATATCATAACCCATTAACATGACACCTCCCTTGAATGAGGTCAAAAAAAAACTTGTTAGAAAAAAAGCATAAATAAATATTAAATCCTGGACTTCAAGACCAACCTCATTCTGCCAACGACGTATGATTTCCGCACGGAAGTTACTTGCGTTTGCAGTAGCCAGTTCGAACACATTAACGTCAGCATCTTCAGGCATCCAGTGTTGCCATTCTCGAAGCCAGTTGAGAAGAGTGTTGACAGGACAGATAATGAGACAGGTTTTAATTCCCAAGCCAACATCTTTGTGAGTCAAGAGGGTGTGAATAAAAGTGATTGTTGAGAGGGTCTTGCCTAGACCCATGCAATGGGCCAGAATGGCTCCATTCAAACGATTTCTGTTCTCCTTGTGCTCATCCAGTGACTCGATTATGTTATCGTAGAGGAAGCGAACGGCTATAAAGAAAGCAAACGCCTACAAGTTCCTCTTCAAAAGCAAAACTAGACAAAAAATAACTTCAAATACGATTAACAACAGTGAAGAAATTAGTCCAATTATTTTTCTCAGTCAGTCGAATAGAGCACACAGCAAATAAAACTGTTAGATGCTGGGGTAAATGAAAAAAGTGCCCTAATTATGCACTACATGACCGCTTCCTGTTGCTAAGACACAACTTTACTTCTTTGGGAGATGAAACTCGTTAATAAAATGGAGTAATAAAATAACCACATAGGGTTGTGCATTAGAAGCTTTGAGCAAAGCAAATATAACCGAGTTATTGATTTAAGGTGTCCAGAAAGCGTTGGAAAGGACTGTGGGGATAGAAAAAGTGACTTCAGACAGCGATGCTACTCGCTAAATCAGACCATTGGTGACTAGATCGCAATTCGAGTTACCCACACATTTTAGAGAACTTTAATACATTATTAGCCATTTCATCAATAGCTTGTGGAGTTTAGTACTCACAAAAATAAAAAGATTCTTAGGAGTTAAGAGACCTAATCAGTAAACTATGAAGAATACTAATTGTCCACATATTTTGTGTGATTCATAAAACATTAACTTAGGGAGCTTTTTACTGATCACATCTTCCATGTGAGGTTAGTAAGCTGCTGTCACGTAGGACCAGTTACCTTCATAAACAAAACTGGAGCGTCAAGACTGACAATCACGACAGAAAACATTAGACAATAGTTTGCTTTAGTTCAAGTGATAAATCATAAAATCCGAATTTCGTAACGAAAACTACACATTGAAGTACATAATGCACAACTCAATGCAAAAATCGTCGAATTTAGAAGAACTCTTTGATGTAGGCATTGTTTTCAGAACCTTTAAGATCCACTCCCCCCCAGCCCCCCCCCCCCCCCCCTCCTTGGCTCAATCATTCGTGGTGCTTTATAATGACCTATTTCAGCTGCCGCCTGCAATTAATTTATTTGGGAGTTAAGGTAATAATACCTTATAAGCAACGTAGATTTCGAGTTTACATTTCTCATGAATTTACTGAAAAAGCGAATTGACATCTATAAGTTAATTTATGCGAAAAATCGATCGGTGAAGTAAATTTACGCCCACCAACATTCCCATAAGGTAATATAGTATTCACAAGTATTATTTGCAACATTATGCCGAAAAGTTAAATCAAGTCACTTTTTGTTCATTAAAGCGTACCTTGTATTTGATGGGGCTTCAAATGCTTGACAAGTTCAGGGTGGACTTCGACAACAGCCTCCTCAGTGTCCTTCTTGAAATCCAAAACCAGCCGAGCATTTTTAGTACTTGATCCCTCAGTAGGGTCCTCCAACACACTGTTGTACTGCAAGGTGGAAAAAATGCCTACTTTAAAATTTAAATACTATCCCACTTATAAATTTTGTGTTGTAGTTAGACAGAATAACACCAACCAACTAGTCTGATAAAGACCCACTGAGAATGGCCATATCAACATACTCTTCATATGCATATTTCATCCACCTATTGCCCATTTTGCAGTAGTTAAGTTAATCAAACACAATTTGATGTATAAAATGTCCACGAGGTTTACAACTCCACCGGTCAACTTAGTTTGGAGATATGCTTAATGCTAGATACGAATGATTTGTCAAGTAAGATAAAATGATAAAAAAGTTTTGAGTAGTTAAATTGTCAAGTGAATGTTTCCCACACTCCTGAGCATAGTAAAGCTAGTCTACCCGGATTCTACATTTTGCTTCTAGTATTTTAATATTTTTCCAATTGACCTAGGCATTATAAACAAGTATATATGGCGATCATATAAAGGTAAATGAAGATAGAAAAATTAATTTGCATACCAACTTTTGCCTCTCTTCAAGACGTTTTCGTCTCTCTTTTTCCAATGCTTCAGCATTCTTGGTCTCAGAGGAGAGCTTCTTATCCTTGAGAATTTTTCTAATCTTCCTTCTTCCCCTCTTTCCATCGGCATCGTCTTCTTCATCGCAGCCTTCCTCTCCATCGAAAGAGCCAGATTTTTTAGACTTTTCCGCTTGGACAGCAGCCTTCTTAACTTCCTCCTTTAGACCATTTTTCCTAAATGGGCTACCTTCAGCTTTAGGAACACTAATTTCGAGATCACTAGAGCTAGATGAGGAGCTTCTAGAGCTATTACTCGCCGAAGAGAATCTTGATGACCGCTTAAGCCTGCGACGTAAACGACGTTTCGTTGACACGCCATTATCTCGCGCCTTCACATTTGGCTTTAGTTTCGTGTCACTGCTACCCTTAGTGTCAGCATCATCTCCCTCGGCTTCATCATTTTCTTCCTTCATTTCAACTTCGTCATCAGAGTAAAAAATTCTTTGACGTCTACTGCTACTGCTCGGTGCATTGGCAACAGATTTAGATGTTTGGCGTTTAGCTGCCGGAATGACAAGCTTTTCGCCTGCTTTTGGCAATGATTCATCATCCGAGTTTGAAGAAAGAGTTCGCTCATAAATGACTCTCTCCATTTTACCTCCCTTTTGCTTCTTGACTGGTTCCCCAGATGTAGATAGAACAGTGAAATCGACAGAATCTTGAGGGAGTCCAGAGGGAGATTGGTGTCCATCGGCGGAGTTAATAATAGGACTATCAGAAAGTACAGTAACTACATCATCCTGATTAATAATGGGTTCCTCCTCCTCATGTTCATAAATTATCACTGTGTCATCTGTCCCTTTCGTCGGTTCTTGCCCTTCTTCATTATAATGAAGAGAAACTTGGCTATCAGAATCGGAAGAAATGGTAATAGATTCCTTATCGCTGACATTCCTTCGAGACCTAAGAGTCCGAGCTACAGACCACGACCTTGTTGAGTTTTCACTCTGTCTCGAACTTACCGACCTAAAAAGAGAAGAGCAGATAATGTGCGAAATTAAGCCAATTCAAGAATAAGACCTGAAGTGGCCATGACTCTGTTTATAAAAACTTCCACTTCAACTTCAAAAATGGGCATAAACCACAACATCACCAGCAATTATACAAATTTAAATTATCAATCACTACACAGCGTGGATGGAAATGAGGTTATGAAAAAAAAGAAATTACAATTCACTAAGTGGAGTTGACTGGTTTTGCGTCCTTTGTTCATCGGACGAGCAACCACAAAAACATCGTCATCTAATAACTACTACAACTCAGACATGAGTCATCTAAGCTCGCCATTATAAAATAAATAATGGATAAAAATCAAAATGGGACGACAAAAAAGAGAAACTTCTGATACAAAGTACAGAATAAACGTTAAAATGTCAGTAGTAAATTTCAATTATAGCTAAGATTGAACGAATGCTAGAAAACGAGGGAAATGACTCAGCTTAAAATGGATTAGACCAACCAAGGAGTAAGTATTATAACGCAAAGAAGTTGATAAAGACGATCAAATTGGGCTTAAGTAATAGACATTATATATATACATATGGGACAAACAATAATTCCAAAGATTATATTTTAATATTGAAGGTAAATAGTTACTCACGTCTTCCGTCTTTTGGTAGACGTTGAATTTGAATTACTAACAGAAGTGCTTCCATCATCTGAATTGCGTGGACGTTTCAATCGAAAAGGCATATTCTTAAAACATGAGGGAAGGAAAGCAAGGAAGTTCACAATCGATGTGACGATAATATTAAGTCAATCAAACCGCAATAAAAAAGATAAACACAGTTTCCTTCTTCATAGTTGTATTGTATTGTTAATGGAAAATATTAATAACACGGGTATATATAAAAGCGGTATGTACGCATACTGGACCGGGGAGAGGAGCATAATACATTTGAAGTTAGACATGTCTTTGTACAACCCACGAGCTGATTAAAAAAAATGCAAAAATATCCCCACGCAAAGTCATCAGATTCACAAAGCGTCTAAAACGAGGTGTTTTTAATATAACTAAAGGGAAGAAACAGTGGTCATAGGTAGTTTAGTAAAGCAAGTTAAAAGCGCATAAGTACTAACTTACAAGTATATCTAGTTAGGCAGGCAGGAAACCGAACACCAATCTCCTACAACCGGAAGACAAACACGCATTTTACAAATTGGCACACTGAGTATTCTTTGAAGGATCTCAGAGACTTGATGTTGCATTTGGCGAAGGAACGCCAGCTTCGCTTGCATTAACTGATTTGGGCGCAACCACAGCAACTGATGTCAACTTCTCAGCTTCATTGTTCGCAGCTGAAACTTGGAGAGTTTTCCGCCGTTTTACTTGAGATAAAGAAGAAGCTGACCTACTTGCTGCCAAACCAGACATCTTTCGTCTCGAAGAGGAATTAGATGACGAAATCTGAGAAGGATTTCCATTAGCCGTCTCTAAATCGTCCGTGAGATCAATAGTTTCGGAAAGAGTTGAAGTGAATTTGACAGAGTCAGATCTTTTAGCAATCTCTTCATTAACTCGCAAGACTACATTAGCGAATCGACTGAGCAAGTGATATCGGAAAATTGACTGAAATGTCTTAACAGTTGTCTGGATTTCCTCTCGATTTGTTGCCTTCGTAAAGCTTGTCTCAGCTCTTCTAATGTCATTAGAGAAAGTTTCCATGCAAAATCGAATAGAGCGAATAACTTCTGTGAAGTTGTCCGGAGTGATCGTAGAGATCTGATCGAGAATACCGGCAATAGATGCATTTTTGAGATAAAAGTCAACAGAATTGCACGTTACTGGAGCTGTTTGGCCTTTGGTTGAAACAGTCACTCGGGGTTCGGGAAATTCCATATTTATAACAGTTGCGATATATGGGGGATTTTGGTTATTTGGTTTAGAACCGGGATCCTGAGTTGTTGGTATCACTTAAAAGTTAACGCGTTCATTCGTAATTTACACAATTTGAATATGTACACAAAGACATTCCAAAATCACCAAAATATGAAATTAAAAAGGAGAAAGCTTACGTGTAGTCTTTGAAGGAGCTTGAACGAAGGGCCGATTCCGTTTCATTTCGGATCTTTTACGAGCTTGCTCGGCCAAAGCTTTGACGCGATCAAAAACCTTAATTATATTTAAAAGAAGCAGGAGAAATTACTTCAGCACATTCCCGTTGAAGTGGCACCAAGGGGGAGGGATCACATATTAGACAGTACCAAGAGGCACCATCAGGCAAATCTTCAATATTTTGGAGGAAAGTTCGACCAAGATTACGCTTTATGCAACTCTTGCAGAATGTGTTAGAACAGGAATCACAGCAAATCAAATCACCACCATCACCACACCAGCGGCAATTTTCGTCTTTACCATCAGTATCTTTTGCAAATTCGCCTTTCCCATAAAATTTGAGACATTTCTAAACATAAATATGTAAAATCAAGAAAATAATTGTATTTACTTTACAGAGAATAACGCCCAACTTTGGATGAACGGTACAGCCAAAGGGGCTCATTCGAAGAGCACAACTAGTACATTTTACGGTATCGACACTGCCGATTTGAAATGAATTAGAGAATGGTCTTCGAGGAAGAACACCATCTTGAAGATCATATTGGAGTGAATAATCAGTTGTGTCCCCGACATCAGCAGGTTGGACAACCGGTGTCCCATCTGGGAGAGTCATTTTGCCAGAGATATCGGTAGAAATAATAACACTTTCACTTGATTGCTCTATATTTTCGGTTTCTGCTTTGAAAATACGCGACGGCTGTTCAGACGAAGGAACATCCGTTGTAAAAGAGACACCTGCTAATTCAGTCGAAATAAAATCAGGATGAATTGATAATTTAGTAGCCACTGATTTCCTACAAGAAAATTAACCGGAAAACTACTCATTTACTTTCTCATCCCCGTTAGGACTAAAAGTTCATCGAACAAAATTGCGTCCACAGAAAAAACGAACTTAAAGAAAGCGGAGAAGTGAGACGGGGCACAACATTTAAACTTATTAAAAAAACGTAAATCTTAAATAAGATTCTTTCGCTGTCATTTAGGCCGCTATATTATAAAGAATAATGATTTTTGCAACAAAGGTAAATAAAATATGCTATGCTCAGATTTATAAGACAAAATTAAATAATTTCATTTTCGATATTGACATGTTATTTTGTACTTTATTTTTTACTTCCGATAAAAACATATTGTTTAACAAGTTAGCTTATTTTTATTAACATTAATAAAGCGATAGCGTAGCCACGCTAATTTTGACTACTCAACAATTTGGTGAATTTTTTTATGATATGAACCTGTATGAAATATTCTTAGTGTCTCCGTTGAATGATCATATAAAAGTCAAGATAATCCTTATTTCTTATTTCCCTATTTAAACGGAAATAAAGTTTCTTAACACACTGGGCATTATCTTCTGATTAAAAAAAGCTTTCTGATAAGTTATAGACATTTATTTCAAATGGCAGGCTTTATGGTAGTTATCATTAACCCTTTAGTTTTCTTCGGGCTTCACAGAGGGAGAAACAGTTGAATAAAAAAGTCGAGGGGAGAGGGAACAGAAGAGCGATTCACAGATGTTAAAGAGACGGTCACAAAGGTTGCTAAAAAGGTGAGGTGAGGTGAGGAATCAATTACACACCCCAGTTGTGACCATCGTATTCCCAACACTTACCACTAACATTTTCTCCGCTTTGTGAGATGACAAAAGGAGTAAGACAACTTGTCTTCCACAAAAACTATAAGTAGATTTTTAATAAATCGCCAACTCGTACTCCCTTGGCGATTTCGAACGAATTTAAACTTATTTATATGACAGGATCTGCCTGTGTTCCTGAAATCCTATTTTCCAACCTACATTCATTAGATCTTTCCGGGAAGGATATTCCCCCATAAATGTTTCTAAACTAACTGAGATCTCTGAGACTACATCATTACATACTATTACTTTCAAGAAACTAAGAGATTGCCCATATATTTAATTACTATTTTGCATTTATTAATAAATAGAAAGCAATAAAATAAATAAAAACAAAAAGAAAATTAGATCAAATTTTACTCACGACAAAGAAATGGAAAATTATACTTATCATTACCATCATTTCATAATTAAATTTTGTTTGATACATAGCATGCTGAATCAATTTATTCATATTTTGAAGCATTTCCTGTTGGTAAATAAGAGAGTAGCAACACGTTGTTTTTGCCACTTTTGAGTAATCTATTTATTTACAGTAACAATATATATCTCAGCCGATATTTGGAACACCTGCGTATTCCTTCGTAGTAGCTCTCTGTTCGTGTGGGGTTAGCCCAGAAATCTGTACATTTAATGAATAGTTTTTAGGCAGTCATTTAGTATCCATATTTTCTTATTATTTGTTTCAACCATTTTATTTGCTTTCCACAATTATCTTAATGTGTTCATGACTCCTCCATGGGAAAGTAGAAAGGATACTACCTACGCTGGACTTCCTAAGCCTTCAATTTTAGCTCCCAAGTTGTGTTTATATCCCTTGATAAATGTCATAAGGTAGACAATTAGTTTGTTTAGCAAGTATTACTAATCTTGCAAATCAAGAAATGTAAGTGAATATCATTGTAAATGATAGCAAAAAGAAAAATAGTAAAAGCTTCTGAAGGTTCTAGGCGAGTTACACATTGGGCTTTTTTGTTTCTCTTCCTTCTAGGTACTCCCGTTTTAATTGCCAAATAATTCGATTTTTTGAACCTATGCTTTTGTTGGCTAACTTTTCCAATGATTTTAAGAGGGCTCCCTGTAAAGCAAACAAATATTATTGAAGTTATGAACGACTGAGAAAAAATGCGTATTCTGTTAAGTATAAAGGGTAATCTTTCAAATTGGAAGTTTTTAGAAAAGAGGCAATTAGAGTTAAAATATCTCAACTAGCTGTTTCTAGCAACCTCGAGGAAGGTATTTGAAGAAAACCTCCCAATTCAAACTATTTTCCAGGCTGCTCCAAAAGGTCAAACTCGAGTTATCGCCCACTGACCTAATTATCAGACCCTGAAGTTGAAACTCTTGAGATTAAAGCTGAGATGGCGTTTTCGTTATTACACTCGCTGAATTTTAGTGAATCCTTTTTTATAATTTCTATCTATCTGTCCAAATCGAATACTCTAGTAGGTTATACCTCGTATTTACATGATTGATCATAACTAAAAGCTACGATTTTCTGAAATCATTTTGTCTCTTTGTTGATATCTTTGAAAATGCTAGTATAATAAAGTATATGTATCTAAAATATTAAATATAAATATAAATGAAAATAGTCAGTAGCAATCATAATACCTTCGGTAGTTTTGTTAATCTCAAAAGATCCTGCTGTGAAATTCGGTAGTTGTCCTCAAAAGCTTCAAGAACGGTTTTATCAACTGCAGGGCAGGAGAGACTTGCTCTTCTCCCGCCTTGCTTCGACACCTATTCGACATAACCATGGATTTAAAATCTGGCTCTTGATAAATCAAGGAGATTCAACATTAACGAGATACGTTTACCTCTATGTTAGCCATTGACTCCACTTCTTCTTTCGGAATGTCGCTTTCTTTGATTATCTTTATCTTTCTATCTACCTTTCTTTCAATTTCTATCTGGTGGTTATAAAATATCACGCTTGTTACTGAGGTAATCGTCCCGATAGAATTTTGAGAGCAATTAGAAATCTTACCCCCTTTTTAGAAAGTGTTGAAGCCTGGTCCAATCCAAGTGCGTTCAAATTGTATTTGTGCTTAACTTTTCCAAACATTGAATGTCGGGGCGCCGTGGTGTCAGTTTGAATTCCACTTGCTTCGCCTAATACAAAATGTCTTTGATTTGATAATTTGTTTGATGATTCGTCGCAGGATTCCATTTGTGAATCAACGTCTATTTCTGGTTTCCTTGAAGCCTTTTCAAAAGTGTATACCTGAAGGGGCAAAGGCGAAACAGGGTGAAGAGTGTTTTGAACACGGTAAAAAAATCTCCCAGATTTATTAAAGGGAGTGTAAAATATATTTATGAGTAAATAGGAGTTATCTCAGTTTCATCCGTAAGGAAAACTCACATTCTACAACCCATCTCACTGACCAGAATTAGCCTATCTCTATATTTTCATCTATGAGGGCGGTTAACGTAGTCACTAACTGAGTAGATGTATGAACTATTACGGGAATCGTACCATGTTCAAGTTCTAATTTTCACCTTCATTCCTTTGGGTACCTTTTCGATGGTTTTCAAGTGATCTCAAACAGTCCCAAAAAATAAGATTCAGGGAAGTTAAGCTCGAAAAGCGTTCTGTCAGATCTATTGAACAAAAATAGTGTTAATCATCAGAAAGGTGGTTCAGAAAATGACTTGAGCAAAACGTAGCTACCTTGACTTTAATCTTAGCGTCTTTTAACCCCCAACCTCCCTCCCTGTCTCTTAAAACATTTGATGTCGTAGCATAATACCATCTCTGAACAACAATTGAAAGCATTCATTGACATTAGCTCTATCTTACACAATAACAGTACAATGAAATAGCTAGTGGTTTTAGTTATCTAAAATTGTCTCAACACTGCTTCTATTAGGGAAAAGGGAACAAACTTACATGAGGAATGGGAGACTCCTTTACATTAGCTTTCCCCATTAGTTCCTCGTCACTTATAAAATATCGTTTTTTTTCAGTCTCACACCCTTCTTTTACTTGACTGCATTCCACAAAATCCCCGACATACAAACTCTCCATTCGATCACCTTTGGAAGTTTCTTTCCTCCAAATATCCACCAGGTCCTGGGGCACTTTTAATATCCAGACGGACTGATTGGCATTTTCCAAATCAACGGTGTAGGAATTCGTCTCCATTTCCATTGCTTTTTCATCTTTTTTAGTTTTGCCCATTATCTAAGGCGAAGCTGGCTAAACGGCTTTTAGAAAAAATAACTTCAATGGTCTTATTGATCGGGTTTTATTCAAATAACGCTTCCACGTGTTGAAGATGGATAATCCCATACACAAGTTCTTCATTTTGGATAATATTAGTTGGAAAAAGGCGTTCAATCGTTCTTCTGGCTCCTTTTCCTCTTTAATTTTCCCATTAGTGTTTTGTTGTTTAGAAACTTAATGAGAGCACTGTTCTGTATGAAGACCACCACTTACGAAAGTGATGTCCTTTGCCAAGATTAATGGATAGTGGGCACAGTATTTATCTGTATGATATGATTCTGATAATTTCTCTGATGTATTTAGAACTACATACAAAATCCTAGAAGATCACAAAGAGTACACATATGGGCATGCTCACATGGTTCTGTATTAAACCAAACATGTTCATGTCCCTGTATCACAATGCTCTTTAACCGCGTAGGGCTACACCGATAGTCGAGTTTAAGCAATTTTATTCGGTCGCTTTGCAAATGTTGGATTCGATCCGTGTTATTTGAATATTGATACCAATAAAGCAAGATGACAGTTTAGTCAAGCTCCAACGACCTAGCACCATAGGAAATTCAAAGATAATCTTTCTAATTCAAGCATCTTTTATAGGCATAAAATGTTGATACGAAAGGATACAACGCCACTGGGATGCATGAAAAATAGGAATAAGGGTAATAAAGGATACTATCTTCTGACAGGCTAAGGATCTGGTGAGTAATCTTCTTATCTTGGTAATGACGGTTGTCTTCGTGTTTGGCTCCCACCCATTGATCTTCACTCTGGGCCCATGTTTTCTACGAGCTGGCGCGTAATCTCGAATTGGTTCAGATGATATATATATATATATTCAAGCAGTAAAGAAACTAGTTTCGCGGTGATTTGCAGGATTATCTTACCAGAGACGCCGATTATTTTCCTGTTTCCATTGTTGCAATAAATGGATAATTTCTGTCGACCGATGAATGCGTGAATTTTTTCCCATTTAGAATGATATAAGGTCATCCTACTTCTTCTTACTTAGAAGAGTATTCTTAAATTCACTTGTTTTAATTGATTGCATTGCAATAATATATTGAAAATAAGCATCTAATATTCATACAACTCGATAAACTGCAGGTGTCATGGTAGCTTATTATTCAATTCTGAAGGCACAAATGCGCATAACTATCTATTGGCCAATAAAAATTAAGAACTCCTTATCAATTGGTTGGAGTAAAAGTGCGTCTGTATTGACAGGACAAATAGCTTCAAACATATTTGTAATTTATCTACTCCAACCCAATGGTCACCTTTTTTCCTTCCTTCCTTCCTTAATATTAAGAGTTACATGAAGAATGGCTTAGAGTTTATTCGTTTGTGCATTTTTATTTTATTGATATTTTCATTATATTATCTCATTGTAGTAAATGATATAGTAAATTGGACTTTTATATATTGCTAGCCTACATAGCTAAGCCCAGTTGATCATAAGCTTTAGCATTATAGGGCAAGTATATTAAGGAATTACTCTATGTTTTCATTTTTCAAGTTAACAGAAAACCCATAGAGAACATTTCAATGTTTAAAAATGAAAATATTGAGATCAGTGAAAATTACAAAATGGATGAATACAATTGATCAAGATCGGTTTTTTTCATTAATAATTTTCGCACTCATTGAGGGTGATTTTGACTCCTTGGGAACACGAATTTCGGTTTTGCTGTTTTTGTTGAATTGCGGTATAGGCATCGAAGACGCTGATAAACACGATAGAGTGGGAAAATTTCTCAAACAGACCTGAATGTATTAACGTTTTGTGAACATTTCCTATTAAAGAAAAAAATTCGAATGAGAGTATATTTAAGGTTTTAGGAAAGCCTTTTCTTGGGAAAGGTGAGATTTCTCATAGATTTTTGCATGAAATTCAACCAACCATCTGCGGACGAGATATAACTCAAATCCCGCAGAATGTTTAAAAAGAAAGAAAATAATGGGTCTCATCTTGACCAAATCATTTGGATGAGTAGATCCGCTTATGTCCACCTCTCTTGACCTCTCTTCGCCACAGTTCTTGACCCTCGTGCTCACTAGAATGTGTTGAGGAGCAGTCAAATTTGCTGATGAGAACTAGGAGTATTATTTCACTAGTGTATCCAAAGTCATGTTTCAATATATAATTAACAATTTATATAAATTAGTGCTTCAGTAAGATGTTCGGATGAAAAATCCATGCAATGGTGGCATTTGATTCAAATATTCTGAAATGGGAACTCTTTTTATACCTCTCAATAAACACATACAAGTTGTTATTACGAGTGAAAACTCTTATGTTAATATTGATAACGATCTGATTTGCGGTGCCCAATTAGATTTGGAGACTGTTTTAAAAGTTAAAATAAAACAGGAAATATTGAATGTCTCCTCGGTACTCTGAATGGTACTTAATTCCAATTATTCTTCAATTGAAAATTTGGAGATTTCGTACTGTGTTCTCTCAATCATATAAAGCTTTTAGGAAATTGAATACCTGAATTAGCCGTTATTTTATATTTTCAAATAGAAAAGAGGTCTTGAATACTTTAATAATTATTCGCTTTATTAACACTAGTACAAACACACACACACATACGCACGCAGATCATTAAGCACATATAATATTAAAATATTCACTTATTCAATTCGAAAGAGTGATATCTATAAGAGTGTTAACGCACTTGAAAGCGAAGCAAGATAAACAGTTACACCAGCTGAGTTGAAATCCGATAACAACTAGAATGGATAAAAAGTGCTTTTTTACGACCTTTACATAGAAAAATACGCATAAAAAGAGGTCATTTTTATGAATCTCACAGTCTTTAAGGTATTTGTACCAGCCACATCAATGAAAGTCCACGTCGAACAGTCGAGAATCAAATGATTGATGGGAACTGTGGAAAGAAGTTTTGCCATCTCCTCTTGGGCAATCTGCTTTCTATTCGCTGCCCCCGAGCGGGAAGACTTGTGTCTGTGGAAACTTTGGCTTATCTCCTTACAACGACCACTTTCATTCAATTGTATGTCAACGCTCGCTGTTGCATCTTTTGAAATTTTTAGAAGAAAATAAGGAATGGATGAAACAGTCAACTCTCGTCTACAACCCCAATTATAAAGAGATCACACAAATAAATAAATAACTTAATATATGCTGATAATTAGAATAATATTTAATTAAATTATTTCATTTTATTAAGCTTGTTTCTTTACTCGTCTATGTGAGTCATAGTGGCATTATTAATAAATCCATTCGTTTGGAGAGCTGTCTGCTAAATTTAGCTTTAGAATATCTGGAGGGTTTAAGGCTATCAACAGTGCAATTATCTCCGCTCTTTAAATGCAAGATTAATTTTTTTATGAGTACTAGGAGCCATTGAAGCATCATACCTTCCTGTGGATGGAATGTAAGCTCCGTTTCCCCATGAACACAATCATATTCTTTTAAGACTATATCTGCTTCCTTTATCACCTCATCAAGTTTCTTCCTCGTGAATGCAATCAGACGTGGATCGAATCCAGCGGCCTCGATCACAGAAGAAACAAAGAGATTTGTGGCAGTATAGAATAATCCGCCTTCATAACGAATTATCTTCACTTTGGGGTCATCTACACACTAGAGTAGGGAGAAAAGCAGCAAATGTAGTCAAACTGAAGTTCGAAAATCGGATAGCATCTCTTAACTTACTGATGAATATAATTCGCTAGATCTGAAAACTTCCGTATCTTCTACTTGGGCGACAACATAGGCCCTTGAACATAGTAAACGAAAGAAAATAGCGAGGACTGAGAAGGCAATGCCTATTAATAGACCGTAGAGAATATCAAGGAATACTGTGGCAAGGAATGTCACTATCCATGAGGCCTGAAATAAGAGCGGAAATTTCTGTTACAATGGCGGATTCATTAAAACACTTTGTACAAAGGTTCTCTATGGTAGGGGAGACTTAAATTAATGGGTAATTAGGGTTAGGGTTAGGGCGTCGTCCGTTAGGCCAATTGTACATTTAATCAAATAGATATTTGGAAGAGATGGGAAGTTTAACTGAAGATGACAGGGATTGGTTTAAACAAACAAAATCTTAATTATTATACAAAAACAAAGCAAGAAAGGATAAGAGCCTACTACTACATGCACCTTCTGGTGATGGTTGATGAAATCGATTGTCTCTGTTGTTGTATAATCGCAGGACCTAACCTGGCACCTCACTTGCTTCCATTGCATATTCACAATTCCTCTAACAACTATTCGACATATTGATAAGATATGATCAATCCGCTCATTCTAAATCTCTAAATGGCAAAAGTTAAAACTCCATATCTGATTCGAAGTCGAAATATTACTAGATAGCGTAAGAAGTAATCATTTCATGTTATAAAGATCAACTAAAGAAGAACCAATCATCAGTTACTGATATTAGCGTTGTCAAAGTGGAATGTGTCCTGTTGGCTGCAATTTCAATCGACTCTTAAATAGTTGAACGCATTTTGAAGAAGTCACAATTAATACGAGACAATTACCAATGCACAAAATTGCAATTACTCCACGATATATGCCTAAGTAATTTTTTCAGTACTTCATCGACGAATTGAAGAGAGAAAAGTGAAATATTTCAACCAATTTTCTTCTCGAAACTCAAGACTCTATATGTCTAAACAGCGCACCTTTCAAAGCTCTTTACCTTTAAAGTTTATATACTCTCGGTGGATCTTTAGATCCAAAATACAATGCATACACATTTGTTCGTTAATACTGAAAGACGGGATATTTTTTGACATTAATGGTCAAGTAATGAGCTATTAAACTTACGAAATCCCAAATAGAACACCGCCAGAGGACTGGAAGATCAAGCAACTGAAGAACCATACCTCTGAGGGCTACAAGGATGATGGCTGAAAGGCAGCACTACATTGAAATTTAAAAAAAAAACAAACAATTTTTAAATAATTGAGATAAAAAGGTGAGGTTGAAGGCAAAACCGTCTAGCATACACTTGGTACATGGTAGAATAGTGGACCGGCAAAAAGAACTACAATGAGCACAAATACAGAAGCGATAAGACCGACAAGTTGGGTTTTTCCTCCCATGGAATTTACTAGTGCTGTTCTGGAAATAGACGAACCAACAGGATAAATTTTGAAAAATGAACCCGCTGCATTGATAATTCCATAAGCCACCAACTCCTAAAAATAAGTAAATAATTTAATAGTAATTAAATGCTTTAGATTATAATTCTGAAAGAAAGCAAAAGAAAATGATACAAGTATTTTGTGTCCTTATTTAAGTTGAATAAATTTTGTTTAAGTGGTGCAAAAAGTGGGACATTTCAGATAGTTAATTTTCGACCTTGTTTTGAGTACACTGTTTACTACTTTAATAGCTCCTTTGTATACTCCGACTTTTTATCTTTTCAGAAATTTTCTCCGAATTTACCTGATTAGGATTCACTTTGTAGCCCTCCTTGTTTCCATAGAAGGAGGCGAGTGAATAGGAGAGAGCAAAGCCAATGACAGCGATCACGAACGCGTCACCTAGCATTCTTCCTGCCAGTGAGAGCTGCGGAATTTCAAGAACAGGGAATCTAAAATTTGGCAATAAATGTTAGAATAAGTACCGGGGTTTTCCGAAAATCTGCTTAGGGCGGTAAAACGAAAAAAATGCCAGTTCATAAAACTCTCGTTTTTTGAAACCAAATATCCGCCCGCCCAAATAAGCGCCCATGGGCGATAATACGGAAGTAGAATAGTTCACCTAAGAAGTGCGCGTATTGTGCATTCGGACTGACTCATCCCCTGTGGGGAGAGTCAAGCTTCAGTCCCAAATCGAGAAGAAAAGCTGCAAGAATACATTTTAACTTTTAACCCCAAATAACCGCTCATCCAAATAGGAGCCCCACGGGCGCTTATTCGGGTGGGCGTGCTTTAGGAAAACCCCGGTACTAATTTAAAGGTTGAAAGGTACAATTTATTCATTTAGTTATGACGATAAGTTATTTTAATTATATAGAGGTATGAAACGGTCAATTGGCATTAACAGTTCCTGAGGGATTTTTTTTACAATCAATCTCATTTTTCATAGATTTTGTATTCAGTATTTATCTAAGAACGTATCTAACTATGAAAGTGTGGAGTGAGTATATGCTATCTCTGTAAATCTATTTCGATGACGATTAATAAGTGCCGTTGAACCTTAAATAATGCGTGATAAACGAAGCCATTAGATGAATGCCAATATGTCTTAGAGTGGTGCTTACCCAGTAGGAATGGTGCCAACGACTTTGACCTTGTAGTCGTCTTTCAGTTTGAGGTAGAACGAGATAACTCCCCCAAGGATTATCTGAAATATTAATCAAAATGTAAGGGTGCACTTAGGTGAAAGATGTCTAATCAGTACTTTTATAGATGGTGCAAGAAGTCCGCTCGTTATCGTCAGCACTCTTTAGGCACCTCATTCGCTCCTCATGCGTATTTGTGCTAAACGGATTTTAAAGCGTTTAGATCTCCAATAGCTATGTCCTCGACGGCTTTGTGGAGGTACCTTTTGGAAAACCGCTTGTAACTTTGGGGCTTAATTAGCAAGAAAGGTCCTGCACAGGGGTAACAAAATTCTGATTGAGGTTTTAAAATTGATTCATGCTAAGTGTTTAAACCTGCTCATAAATATATGATGTTATAATAAAGAGAAAAGGTCACAATTAATATCCAGATAATACTTACAAATATTATTTATATCTTATTATAAAATTGAGATTACAAGCACATATTTTTTATCCATCGACTTAGCCGAATTATTAGTCATTTCCTTGTACATTAAAGAATTTTTTCGTAAAGATTAAATGAACACAAATTTCACTCAACCATCGTCCTCGTAGACGAATATTAACCACCCTGAACTTAGGAGCATCAAAGTTTTGTTCAACGTCCCCAATCTTGACGAACGACTTGTTGGGTCAATTGAATAATATTACAAATCTAACATGGAGAGAAAAAACTGAAATCGGAATATTTTCAATCTTGAAAAGGAATTTTTCGCAGAAAATTGACCTGAGATCTGTGTCATATTGAGATATTCGAGACATTAAATTTAGAAGTGGAGTATATTGGAAGGTAATCAGGAGTAAAGTTGATTCAAATGCAGTTTTTCACGAAGGAAGCTCTGCTACTCCACGCTTCCTTATGTTTATCAAAACAACGAGGTGGCAAAATGCCTGAGAACGAATAATCGAATGAATGCAAAGTCTGCTCAAATTTGTTGTTGATAACAGTTCAAAACAGTTTCAAGGCTTGTCTCTATCCCTCTCTTGACAAAATTTTACCACTGGGAGTAATCATCTATCGCGTTCGATGAGTAGTGTTGTGGTAACAAGAACTGAGAGTCAGTAGTTTCTTTCAGTAGCTGCAGACGACAATTTCTAAAATAGTGCACAAGGTGTTGAGTAAACCAAAGTGTATTGAATAAACCACGATCATAATTCGAGAAGTAATGAGAGGAGAGGGATAGGAGAGATAAGAAGGAGATGCAAGAGCCGGCAAATGGCAAGTTTGAGGCTATATGTGTGCCCATATAGAAGAGGCACTTTATAATTACCTTGAAAAGGAGTAGCGTCAATAGATGGAATGGTCCCCAAATATCGCCGATCAAGGAAACTGCACACATGCGTTGCTTATCCCACTAATTAAAACAAATCACTCGAGATCAATGCATGTTTAAGCCCCTCAAGTATCACTGTGAGCTTAGCAACGGTACTGAGGTTGCAGCAGGGTCATGCACTGAAAGGGTTCCTGTGAGGTAGAGCTAAGACCCATAGATTAGTGATGATCCGGTTAAAAATTTTGGAAATGCCTCGGCACTCATCCTTCAAAATTTTCCAATTGATCTATAAACATTCTACCTCTAATTTAATAGATTAGGGTTAGGGCCGACAATAATTTCACAGTTTCTTTATCAACGAGTGTTTCAACACTCATACCAAAGTGCATAGAAGTTGGTTCTTTGGAATAGATAAAATTGTTTAAGTTGAGAAAGTCATGTGAATCACTTGAACGTACCACCAAAATTTCAATTGGAATGGGAACTTTGATGCGCTTTCTAAGAGGCGGATTTATGCGGAGTTGGAATAGGTAGAGTAGGAATAAGCAAGCTGAAGAAAGACCGAAGGTGACCCAATTCGCTTCTGGTAGGTTTGCACATATCTGGTAGAAATTCTAGGAAAGTGAACGAAGGAAGTGCTAGAAAAAAATGTTGAAAATAATCAAACTTAAGATCTTTTTTCATGTTATGAAACCGCTTACTAGAGGAATCTTGGATGGTGAGGTGATATTAAGACCATACAAGATAATTGTTACAGTTTTCACAGTAAGGTGCTTAATTATGCTTAATATTTACTTCCGATTAGAAAGATTCAAGTGAAATATACCGTTAGCTATACTTTGATTGTTCCATGCATGTGATATATAATTTCTTGAATGAGAATTTCCCATAACTAGTTGGAATAAAAATTCACTTTCTAATGGAAGAATAGGGCAAGTATGTGGCAAGCCTTTTCTTACCCGTGGAACGTTGAAGACGCCAGTATGTTTCCTGAGATTGAGACCGAATATTCCAAAAATCTGGGAAATTGCCACATGAACAGATGATCCCACTGTAAAACCAACCAGCATTGGATCAGAGAGCAGACTAGTCAAGAATCCCAGTCGTAGAAGACCCATGGAAAACTGTAAACAATTATAGGACAATTAAGTGGTTATTATAAAGAAATGAGCATCAAGTGGTCAATTCAATGTCACCTATTCCAGCAGCAGCAAACCTGGAATTGCAGAGCAAAGACCGTTAATTAAATCAGACAGTCTTCGCGTAGAAAATCCATTGCATAGAAGTGTGGGACACAACGATCCTTAGCTGTACCAAATGTCACTAGTCGCGTTAGAAAATGTAGGTTTGGCATCTGCTGCAAATCCGCATCAAAGTGGGCATCTCACTTACTGATCGGTAAGTAGAATATCGCACTGTCTTATTTGTGCAAATGACTTATTTCTATGGCTTAGGGCCGTTGTTATATCAACATTAGAATATGTTAAAAATGTGCCGCAGATAATCAATTTTGCAAATATTGATAAGAACTACGTTGTATCAAAAATACGAATCATGTGACGTAAAATAGCAGTACATAATCAATTAAAAGCACACTAACTTCAACCAGCTTTGAAAAAAACTTTTTTGCTAAATTATCCCTTGATTTAGATCTAGTTGAAGCATACAGATTGAATCGAACGCTAACTCTTAGCAATTTGAAGGATAAATGATTGTTAGGAGAAGAAGGTCAACTTAGTGTAGTTCTGAACAAGCTTTTTTAAGGTTTAAAGACCTCATTAAAAACTGAGCCAAATATACAAATTTGATCATGCACTTTTAATAGGCATAGTTAAATCCCTCATGAGCTGTAATGGGAAAATGACGCTAAAATATAGCTAAATCGTGAAAAGGTAGAAGGCGTAAATAGAAATTAGATATGAATGTAACCTGGGAAGAGAGATTTTAAGATATAACGCACACACAAGTTGCCAAATTGCATGATGCCTAAAATATCATCATGGCCATAAACTCATGGTAATGGGAAGAGTAGGCAGCTGTAAGGCGCATAAAGATGGGACAAAAAACTGACGAATAAAGAAAGGGATGACACTAACACCCCAATTCTGGAGACTATTTACTGAAGCACCCAACACAGTTAGCCAAGCACACACATTGCAGATAATAATTAGTAAGGATAATCATTTCAACCATTTAGTTCTAATGGCACTCCTCCATTGGGAAAAAAAATTATAAGCCATGGAATGGGCGTGTAAGTTAGAGAGGAAATTGATCACTTGTCTCGCTTACAATAGGTCTGACAACTGTACAAACCGAATGCGAGAAGGGGTGGGGGGGTGAAGCGTGCAATAATCAAAAACAATCTATTAACTAGGAGAAACCGTTAGTTTTTAATCAAGAACTTCTGTTAAAAGCGATAAGTATTCAATAGTTATCAACCCCAAGGGTCATTTTGTAGTATAAATAGAGCGTCTATAGACAAATAATGGTCAAGGACGAGTTTTTCATTCAGACAGGATATATTATACCGGAGTATTAGTATCTAACTCCATTGTGCCATACTTATCTAATGAATAAGATGATTAGTTAGATAAAATAACACTGACATAAGCGAAATTTAACATTACGATTATGAATACTATGTCACACCGTCTGGACAGTGCTCTCTTTGGATGTTCATAACCATGTAAAACTAATTTAAAGCCGGCAATCCCATAGTAATCCTCATTGTACCTTTCATCGAAAACATATCCGTCGTAATAAAAATCAAAAACGAAAATTATTTTTATCAGTTGAACTCTATAAAGTGTGGTAACACACCTACCTGTATAATACCGACAGTCAAGGCCAAAGCAGAAGCCAACAAGATACGATTCGCCGATTCGTTTGCGTCATCCGTCGGTGTGGTCGTCATAACTAATTCTGATTCATTAGTTGACGCTCTAGAAAGCACTGGAAATGAAAGAAATATGTTCTGAATTAAGAAAACGTGTATACTACTGAAATACTAAGGTAGCAAATCAGTAGACTTACACTGAGGTATCGTGCGATCGAGGCAACTGCCAACAAGAAGACTAATGATTGCGATAGTACCTGCAGAATTAGTTAAAAGATAAAGAAATGTGAAACCTTCGGTAATTGATGATAGTGAAATGTGTCACTTACTCAAAGAAAGATGTCGTGAAGTGCCTAAGAAGAAATAGAAAAAGGAAGCGAACATGGAACAGTAAAGACCGTAAATCGGTGGAACCGTAGCTAGCATTGCATAGGCCATTCCTGAAAATAAGAACATAATATTGGCAAATATTAATACGAGTCATGCTTTTATAATGTGCTAAATCCCACACTTCATATTAAAAAGACATTATTAGGTAATATTAATTAACTCTAAAATATCACCTTGAGGAACGTGCATGACACCGATCGTGAATCCAGTCACCAAATCATTCACAAGCCAATTTTTTACATCATAGTGCCGAAAGACATCAATGAAAGGAAATAAATTGTAAAAGAAACGTGATAGTTGAGTGCCGAAGCCAACACTTGTATCTGGACCACAATACCCCTTACGAATTTTGAGGAAAGCTTTTCGTAACATCGAGGAAGATTTTTGTCGAAAGGAAACCTGCTTAGTTTCGTCATGCTTAAGGTATAAATTTTCAAATTCTTCTTCTGTATAGATTCTTCTTGATTCATTTGGTTGTATACTGCCACCCACCGAATCAATAGCTTGGATCATGCTCTAATTAAAAGGCTATATGAATTTTCATAAAAAATGAAGCCAATTCTAGTTTTTAAAAATGCTCGTGATGACGGGATTCTATGTGGGGACACCGACGCTTATTTCAACGAGTTTAAATAGTGGGAAGGTCTGAGACAGCCAAAAAGGTTAAATCTTCAATAGTTATAACAAACTTTCATCGGCTTAAAGATATTCCATTATATTTTATTATTTTATTTAATATCATACTAATTTAGAAATCGAGTGTTGTAAAAAGCTCAGTTAATCCGATAAACTGATATAATTCACAATAGTATATTATGTTAAAATTATGAAATGTAAATTAGTTTTTTAAAAATGATTTCTGTTTTAATCTTGTATTTTAACTTAAAAAATTATCAATTTCAATGAATTAGTGCTTTGAAGACATTAACGTTATCCTGAAGAGTTAACATTGAAGCACATATGTAAGGAACATATTAAGCCCATTGTGATGTTTTGTTAATATAATTATCAGGTTCATTTAAAAAGACATTTGGCAACATTTGCCTTGGTTTTACGTTATGGAGCCTATTATAACGCCTTTCCATTCCCATTTTTTCTCCCCTTCCAAATCCATTCACCCTTATAGCAGACGTAATCAGAATATTCGGCTTTTCGCTCTGCGTGAATCGATGCGTCTGCAATCTCTAGCACTGCACAGATAGTAGTTAGGAAAATTATCAAACATGTACAATGGGAATCAACGTGTGGTAAGCAATCTCTCAGTGGTGGACCAAATAGAAAGATCTCTCTGAAACAAAATCCCTTGAACACGATCGACTTCTCCCTACTAACAAATTTATTTAATTTATGTGTCTAATCAGTTTCGCGTAGCACAATGTAATGGCAATTGATAAAAAAATACGGACGCGTTTATCTAGGTCTTCTAAGGTTTTGGCATGCAAATCCTTATAATTTTTGCATGCCCTTCAACATATTTTAAGATCTTTATAGTACCAAATTCTCTGTTAGTAAACAAGTATATTTCAGGTCCCTAAATTTACATTTAAATTTTAATCACACATTTTTTGTCTTTTTATTGCCGAGGGTTTCGCCAGCAGTTCCGCCATTCGGGCCTTATCGGCTTGGCTTAGTGGCACAAACAGCCAAACCTTGCCAATCGCACATGGGGTGTGCGGTAGACTAACCTCCACGTGGTGCACCCTTGGCAACGTACACTCATACGGCAAAAAAAAGTCTATAAATCGGCAGTTGACTTCTCACTTCAAACTACCATGGCCTGACTGCTTGTCATATTCGACCCCTTTCACAGTACGCATCTTACCTTATTCCCTACCTTTGCGTCTGTCTGCCTCTTTTACATCTGTGAATCGCTCTTCTGATCCCCACCCCTCGACTTTCTGCTACTTTGATGAACCTTCCTTCTGTGAAGCCCGAAGTCAGCTAAATGGCTAATAATAGCTAT